AATGATTTTTTGATTGACTGATTGACAGGAGTCAATACCAGCCATGGAGGTATGGTTAATGCAATATCTTCACACCTGGAATAATGAGGATTATAGAACTCTTATCCTGGAGCTCATCAAATATTTGAAAATGCATCCCTTTGTTAGTAAGTGACTATCAGCGAGATTATTACCATTATTACTCGGGGTTCCTGTGGAACCCAGAGTTTAAATTTCGGACTTCTTATTTTTTTTCATTGTCGCTTATCAGTCACAAATTGTCCACAGGTAGCCCAAGCTCATAATCACGTGATATTCTAAAAATGCTATTTAGAGGCCAAATTAGCGAAATATTATTATTGTCCTCGATAGAACATCTAAATTAAAGTATTATTGCGAAATGTTGAGCCAAAATAATGCTTTTTAACAGAAATACAAGCAAACGAAAATTGGTAAGAATGTATGGGATTATCACGGCTCAATGCGTTTTAGACAGGTCAAGAAATACCTACAAAAGGCTGTGTTTTAAGATCTAAATGATTTTTTTATGTTCATGACTAAAACAGCATATAATTCCCAACAGTTATGCAAAGTTTGAAGTCAAACTRCGATTTTTTAGCAAAAATATAAGCATTTGAATATGGTCTTACTTTACAAGGGAATGCCCTGATGGTGTACTATCCAGTACACAACCACGCGGACAGTAACTCCGAGTGTCGAAATGAGCTCAAAACTAATGATTTTGCTTCAGTTTTCTAACAATATCATTCTAAAAATTTAATTTAATGCTGAGACTATACTTGTTTTAAGATTTTATAGGCTTTCCGAGGTTAATTTGGCGTGTTTCAAGTAGTAGTAGCTTGACAGTATTGCGTGGCATATTTTTGAACGTTATTAACACTTAACTCAATGAATAAACAGCAAAAAAAGGTGAAACTTTCAGAGAGAACTTCTATCATGCTCTTCAAGGTATTTTAGTACTTTAATGTTGTGTGTCTGTGATTTTMGAATTTTAKAAYTTTTCGACTGTCATGTGCAAACCGAGAATAGTCGGCGAGACTGTAATACGCGAGGTGGAAGAAGACAGAAATTCAACGTCTACAAATACACTCAAATCACTTAGAAATATCCACACATTCGTGGGATAGCCACGCTAAAATATGACGAGCGTTTTTCCGAAAAAGGAATTTCAGGAAATACCGTAAATTTATCGAGAATTTATCTTACTGTCTATCGAGATCGAGTCTATCGGGAATTGTCTACCAAACAAGCTACCTATCTTAGCACAAGAGAACTATATACGAACTTATGCAGGCTCTGAAACTACTAAGGTCTCGTCTAAGGAATGCGAATGGACGACGAATGGAAGAGCGGAGAAGATAAAAGACTCTATGTTTACAGCCTGTCATGTGACTATCAAAGTGAGACCGGCTTGCTGATGATCAATTTTTTCATGATATTTGAAGGGGCGGATGCGAAAACGGCCTAAGTGACGATTTAGGGTATTTTTGAAATTTTCGAAAAATTAAAAAAACATCATTCCAATCGCTTATTTTAAGTCTAAATAACCTTATTTAGTACTTATTTCTCCTGATTTCTTTCCAAAAAGAGCAAAAAAGGACCCATAGTTACCGACTTCTTTGGCTTGACAACTGATCACTAGACCGTAAAATATCCTAGATTTGCATATTCGCGCTAAACTCATGACTTTGACAGTTGGTTTGTCGGTTTGTTTTGGTTCGAAGCTGTGCTGCAAGAAGTCGAGAAATGAGTTTTTTCGCGGTTTTCTCAGCCTTTTTGCCTTTAGTCACTACTCTACGGACATCATTAAGTTTGTAGGTAGCGAAGGAGCTTACTTGCTGAAAGAATCCAGCTTGGTGTGTGACTTTTTAAGCGATTTTGATTCCGCGGTTCATTCGATTAACTCGGACAGTCGCTTGAAGAGAATCACTTAAAAGACCGTCTAAAGGCAAATCCTTGGAGCTGCCACGGTAATTTTTGGATGTTTTGGCTATTGAGGAACAAAAGCGACTTGAAATTTTGGCAGATTTCCGAGAAGGCTGTAGACTTTATATAAATTTCTATTTCAGATTGGACGGAATCGTTGCTCACGGCGTGTGTAGATTTTTCCCAGAATTCATTGCGTG